TTTTGAAATTATCTCATTGCTATTTGTTTCTCAATAAAATTATTTTTTTAAAAAAAAGCTGTATGCACAGCATTAGTGAAACTTGTATTTGTCAAAATATAATTAACATATTTATTTAATAATTTAAAGAAAAGGGACTGGACAAATAGCTCAGCAGATTAAAGCACCTGCAAGCAGGCACAGGGGCCAGGGTTTGATCCCTGGGCCTGGCCTCAAGGTGCTCTGAGATGGCAACTGAGACTGGGCGTGACGGTGTGCGTCTGTAATCCCAGCTCTTGAAAGACTGTAAACCAGCGGATCACTAGTAGTGAGACTCTGAACAACCTGTAGCCCCTTCCTTAAAATACAATAAATAAATAAATAAAGTATTAATTTAAAGAAACTTATATTCTACATTAGAAGAGAAATATACATTACTAAAAAAACTGCTTTAAGGCACTTTAAAAACATTTCATATAAATGTTAGGAAAATACTTTATTTGCAATTTAATACTTATGAAATATCTTTATATTGTTTCACCCATTATTAAAATAATATATCTTTCAGCTTAACCTGATTGTTCTTCTCAATTTATTATTTTATACTAGAAGTTTTAAATTCATCAGAACCATTTTAAGTTTGAAAACATATTTCAAAACCACCCTCATGACTCTAACACAACACTCAGAATTAAATTCATGTTTCAGCATCACACAATTTTCTCCTATTCTATTTGTTTCCCTCAGTCTTATTTACCTAGTCACTATCTACACATCTATTATACAAAATGACAGACTTCCAGAGAAAAGCTTAGTAAACACACACAGTAGTCAACTTCGATTGTAAACAATCACAAATTGAAAGCATTCATGCCAGTGTAAAACTCTGTGGGAAACTGCTTTTCTCCAAGTATTGTGCATGATTATTACGAACAAAACAAACGAGGTAAGGTAACGTTACAATAATGATCTGGAACTGTGACTCAAATGAGTAAGATTAAAATCACGAAGAAACTCTTCCTAATAAACAAGCAGATAACTGCTGGAAAGAAAAATATGTTCCTTGTTTGAAATTAACTGCCAAACAGTCCCAACCTACACAAAGCTGTCATAAAGGACATCTAAATCTGTCCTTGTTTGTAACATGTGTTGTGACAAGATTTGACAGTTTATCAAAGAACTATAATTGCCACCTAAACATCTAGCGTTTTGTCAACTGCAAGTATGTTTAGCGAAAGCATTTATTTTGCTTAAAATACAACCATTGTTTCTCTGCTTTCTGAATTTCTCTTTTCAGCTGATCAAGCTGCATTAGGGCTTTCTTTGAATTATTTATGATGGACTTGTGATCGGTAAAAGAATAACCAGCAGAGCAAAAAACTTTTAATAAAGATACATTATATATATTATATATAATATATAAGGTATTCTGGGTATTGACTCAAAAGACCTTCAAATTGCAACAATTCTCACAACTCTGTAGACATGAAATTTAAATATGCTTGCCTTGGGAAGGAGAAAGATAAGACATTTTTTTCTCTACCACATTTTCATTTTCAGAGTAATTTATTGTGAAGCAATTCCTAAAAAGAGAGATATGTTCTTTAACAGGCATTATTCCTACCGGTAATCTTTGTCAGAAACAGCCGATGATAAGACAGCCTCTCAACTTACAGAGAACAAAATGAACACAAAGTAAATTCTCTTGCAATAGAACCAGAAAACAGAAAGGTCAGAATAACAAGGATATTCCATGACACTGCTAATGATTTCTTTATTTCTGGAATTTTTTTATTTGAAGGAAGAGAATTTTCAGCTTTATGTTTGTTCTTTGTTGCAGTTACTTGATACGAGAGAAAAATAGTATGCAAATATTTCTGCACTACTTTTAATTTTTTTCCTTCATTCTAAATCTCAAAGGGAAGAAAAATGTTCTAAAGTGATGCAGCATATAAAGCGATACATGGAAATTCAGGAATCCCACATTCTAGTCCATAGCTTACCTCTCATGAGGCAGTAGGTTGTTTTCCTGGACTTAGTTCCCTATGTATGAGTTGAAATATTACTATGATTTGGTAATCTCTCAGGTCATTTCAAACTTTTGTGATGCTAGGAAATCCCTGGATCTATGAGGTATAGCAACATCCAGAGAATGGAACAAAGATAGCAAGATAAAAACGTCTCCTACTTATCACCTCAAGAAAAATATACCAGGGCTGGGGAGATAGCTCGCTGGTCTAAGCGCCTGCCTGACAAGCACAAGGGTCTGTGTTTGATCCCCAGTACCACATGCCATGAGCCATACTGGCCACCAAACCTGGGCACAGTGGTACACACCTGTAATCCCAGTGATGGAGAGGCTGAGACAGGAGGATCACTATAAGTCTGAGCTATGTAGAGAGACCCTGTAATAAATAAATAAACAAATAAATAATTTTTAAAAAAATTTAAAAGAAAAATATAACAGCTGTGGGCTTTCAATATTTACTTTAGTATTCAGTCCTATTCAAGTAATATCAAATCTATTTAAAAATCTATTTTGTTTTTCATTAAAACTGAAAAATGTGTGACAGATAATGAACACTGAAAGAAAAAAGTCAATTTAATTGAAGCTAGAAATACTTTTCAGTGCTTCTAATTTAAGCCACAGGATTTTCTTTAGAAATTGCTATATGTAGTCTGGTTTGGATGAATGATATTAATAGATGGTTCTGCTTGGTTTTGATAGGAATTAACACAAATGAAGGATTTTGGCTAGCCAACAGCTCCCTTACAATGTCAACCAGAAAGAAACTGTGCATGTTGGTGTCAAGAGACATGTGATTGGGGGAGATGGCTCAGTGGAATAAGCGCTTCCCTGGCAAGCACTAAGGGCCTGAGTTCAATCCCCGGTTTCGGAAAAAAAAAAAAGAAGAGACATGTGACTGACTCATCAACAAGTCATTTGGTATAATACTTGATGTGTTTTTATGGTTTTATAGCAATAGCTCATTCAATATATAGGAGGATTTTCTATAGCCAAGAAATGTGTTTCACAGATATTACTGAATCTTACCCACTCTTGTTGTTTACACAATTCCTTACCCAACTCCTGAGCATAATCCACAGATCCAATCTGCCAAGGAAGTTCAGAAATTGTATAAAAAGATATGCACAAAAATTATTAGGTAATTTCAAAATTACAATGATGACTTGGTTTGAGGCTAACCAAAAAAAATCACCATATCCAAATGTCAAGCATACAATTAGGAAAACATGAGTGCATGATCTGTGATGGATGGCTCATCATATTTATGGAATAGCACATTCACTGTCAAAATCTTTGGCATCTATGGTCCTTCCCACTTCCTTCCTCACCACTCCAACCTGAAATACCTTGTGGAAGCTGTATACTTAAAATTTGCAATAAAATGATTAACAAATACATTTTATTCAACTTAATTTTATTTTTTAACTTAATTTAATTTTGAAGAATAAAAACAAATGGAAAAGGGGGCTGGAGAGATGGCTCAGTGGTCTAAAGCGCCTACTTAGAACAAGCTTGGCAAAGCATCAGGGACCGTGGTTCAATCCCCCAGCACCACATGCCAGCCAGCCCCGCCCCCTGGTGGGCTGAGCTGGCCACACACACACACA